TGCTTGGGGAGAAGGAGAAGAGTGAAAAGGATAATAATAGCAATGTTGTAAACAGAAAACATATTTCTCAATGCATGTATTATGAAACCCAGTGCAAATATGACCTATCAAAGCCTTTATTGGGAAAAAAAACAACTTTATTTTTACTCTAGTCTTCAATATCACAACAGCAGGTTTGTGAATGTATTCCAAGCAATAACTGAGCTTAAGATTCCCAAGAAAGTTCATGATGACACAAGACTCACATCAACAACTGGGTGTCTGGACTCATTGGAAGTCCCTTTATACAGTAACTATTTGAAAAGATATGAATGCACTCAAATACAAATAAAGAACTTCACATTCAGATGTAACTGAGGTATTTCTCTGTTATACATCATCGCCAACAAAATTACAAACTAGTGTTTAAACACACTGTGAGAGAAATGAAATCAGAAGTCACCCGTAAAATACAAAACAATAAATATGTGCATAACAGCAAGAAAGACTACCAACAAAATAAACTGAAAGGAAGTAACATGTAATGCTTACAAACATGGGAAGTCTGTTTTATGAGTTGGTCAATGAAAGTGACTCATTAAAGAATATCTTATCTGATATCCCCATCTATTTCAATGGAGTAATTGAGAGCTCTCATCAAAGGCCATATCTTGAACTTCAAGAGAACGAAAATAATCATACTTTACGTTGGGAAAAAAAATGTAAAACTGGACAAATATATTGCAGGCTCTCTTGTCAATAGTCTGTACACACACCTTTAGTATTTATGAAAATATTCACTGGAGTGCATTATGCAGTGCACTAGTATATTTGAAGCTGCCTCTGATCGTTATGAACCTCGATACTAGCAAAGCAGATTTCTATCTTAGAATTATTTATCATTTCCAAATGAAGCAATGTTTTGTTCAACCTAAACACTTTCTTTAGATTCAAATATAATCATTTCAGTTACAACACAAACTATTTAATATTCGATACATTCTCATGATATTATTTGTATTCTATAATACACTTTACTTTGTAAATGACAACATCCCTGTCTTACATATGACAGCTTTCCTTTTAGTGTGCAGAAAACTATTTTATAGAGTACCTAGTACCTTGTATTATATACAAGTGAAATGTCAAACTCTGCTCCACCTTGTTCACCTTCAATATGATGTTACTCTGACATGGATATAATTGTCACAACTACTTTAAACAATAAAGGAGTAAAGAGTAAATATTAAAGTTGGATATCAAAATAATAAAAGATGACTGTATAGCACACAGCCCTTTTAAGTTGAACATTCACACTGTGTGACCTAATGCATGCATCACACACTTATTCATGGCACATGAATCTGAACATTTTTCTCTGTAAGCATACATATACTTTCAATCACCATCCCTTCCTTTGTGTCAGTAAAACAATAAAATGTATTAGTATATATCAGAAAAAAAAATATATACAATGGTACCTACTTCTTCTTTAAAAACTATAACAATCTTTAAATTGCTGATTAACTGATTATTCTGCAATAATTCCCTCTATATTGATTTCCCAACAGTGAAATGTGTGAAGCTTTGCAGATCAGTTCATGAGAAACACAGAACCAGCATTGGCAGGTGCAACTGATTTTTGTTAGCTGCAAATGCAATGTCTTTACCAAATAATAACTTCAACAATAACAATAGTATGCAAGCAACAAGAAAAGTGATATCATGTCTTCTATAGACTGGTGCATTTTCCTTTGAAACAATAGCTACAGGTGTCACAGGTATTTCCCAGTCAAACATTGTATATCAAATACTATCATACAGACATTAAGCCTCCCTTTGAAATTAACAATGAAATACTCATGAGCTTACAAGGCCTATTAGCCACTTATACAATAAATAACTAGGGTATGGTCACAATTACTACATGTCAAGCCATAAGAACTTTTAGCACAAGGCACAACACATTACTGTGTTTTGTATATATACATTTGGTATGGGAGAGCCCAGAATTTACTTCAAGTATGGATAGGGCAATGACTCATGTCATCTATATATGTCCTCTAAAGTAATTTCTAAAAAGACACTACATTCTGACCCTAGGCAAAATACATTTTCTTCAAGATTCTGAGAAGCATACTTCAAATAAAACAAAATATCCTGCTACTGCATATTTATTACTACTACTACTACTACCCCCTGTGTGCAAGGAATAACTGTTTGCTTTATGAGAACACTGCACCACACAGCACAACATGGTCAGAATTACTAAAGCTTAAACCATAAGAACTTTTAACACAAGGCATAAAACATTACCATTTTGTATATATATATAGTAGGGGAATTTACTACAAGCATGGATATAGCAATGACTCACATTATATGTCCTCTAATGTAATTTCTAAAGGGAAACTACACTCTGACCTTAGGAAAAAATTCAATGACAAAGTAATAAACTGAACCTCGTAGATGAAAAGGGGTATAAAGTCAATAGGGATGTAAGATGTCTGTGAATACGCTCTATGCATTCATTTTCCAATAATTTAAAATATCCTCCCTTCCCCCCTTAGAAAGATCTGAACCCTTTGAGAATGAAATAACAAAACTGTAGGCCTAAGATCTGAAAGTTCTGAATGACTCAGTTGTATTTAGAATTCACAAATAAAGAGATGAAATCATCCTTGACCAAAGCACCTTAAGGGACGCGGTTGTTAGTCCTAGAACTCTGTGCCCTGCGCTTGAACTCTACCGAGATTGGGATTTCAGTGTTCATTGCCTTTACTAAATTGCATATCGAGGGGGTGAGTAACAACTGGATTCCTATGGTTTCCTTCTGCATACATTTCCAGACTGGTTAATCCTACATTCCAATAGCTTTTAGAGTATTTCTATAACCGCCTTCTCCTTTTGGAATACTGTAAATATGACTGCCAATTAAAAGAGAGAGATCTCCCACAATGTAACAGTTTATTTGTTTCTAGAGTTTAGACTTTACCTAAACTTTTCTTTGTGACTTTAAAACAAAACCCCAATCTACCTTTGCTTGAGAATTTTGGCTTTCCTCTACTCTTGCATCTATGCTAAGCAACAACATTTCCTTGGTGAACTATTAACAAAACATATGAATTGACCGAGGTGGTCCCTACCGTTTCTTCGCCTGTTGGCACTTCCGGCAAAGGCCCACAACCCTTTACTTCATATATATTTCGGCAAGGAAGGGCTTGAACTGGTTAGATGAATATTTGAGAGGGACATCTTAGAGCAATATCTTCTCAAAAGTTACATGGGGGAGGTTTAATGGCCTTTGTCGAAGGACCAAAGGCATGTAGGCCAATTATGACTGCCTGTATAATAGATTTAAGGCCTCTAAATAAAAGCAAGTTTCTATTTTGAATAGAACAGAGGCAGAGGTCAAAATCTCAATTTGAAAACAAAAATGGTCATGTAAACATTTACATTCTCATTTCTCTTGCAACACATTAACAATTTTAAGCTTATAACTGATATATATATATAGATATAGATATATATATATATATATATATATATATATATATATATATATATATATATATATATATATATATATATATATATATATATATATGTTAATATGATTTCCAGAGTTTTTCCTTTGATGC